ACTGTCAGCCAGACATATTACTTGTCAACTAGGAGACAAGTGTTTGCTTGGAGATATTGATCTTCTACTGACCACACAGCTCCTGTGGGAGACAGTAGCATGATGAAGATGTGGGGCCTGGATCAGTGAGACGCACACAAAACCACATTGTGCCAGACAAGGGAGACATGCATTGCTACTGTACAGGAAACTCAGGAACAGCAGCATGGTTCACCTGCAGTGATCACCACTAGTAACCAGACGTCTGTGACATGAATCGTGGAGACCCACAGGATCCAGAGGCCACAATTTCCTCAGGTGAAGAGGGGCTGGGGATCATTGATGTGGTGTCAGATTAAAGTATCTCTACGGGTCTCTGGAGGAGGGGATATCAGACTGACAGGGGGTCAGGAGCCGACAAAGAGTGGGACTGTGAAGCACAAGAAGAGGAAGGCCCCATAGTGACAGGACACAACCAGAGGAAGATGAAAGGGAACATGTTTGCCCAGCTAAGGCATTGCATGTGGGCATTTGGGCTTATATAGAAAGAAGACCTATCCCCACACCGCACTGCAGCCAAAAGCCCTTATGTCCCACCAGGAAGCGGAGACCGGGATGAGTTGCCAAAGTCTTCACGTTTCCGGAGTACAGCCCAAAGCTAAGTAGATCTGAAGTATGGGTTTGACTTTCCATATGTCATGGAAGAAACTGAGGAAAGGAGATTCCTGTTGCAAAGAATGAGTCTGGAATTTCATGTATATTCCCAAATAATTCAGGAACAGTGCTCACCCCCTTTTATGGCAACGCTTCCAATCTGTCAAGAAGAATTGGAGCCTGGTGAGATCTGTTTGCATGGACAGAGAAGTCATTACTAAGGCTGGACTCCTGGACCAGGAGTGGCCCATCAACATCCGGGGACTGGTTAGTAAAACGGTCCTACATCTGGACTTCTACTTTGAAAACGTGTGTGTCACACGAAACGCGTCAGTAGGGTGCCCCCCAACTGTCTGGACTTATCACTTAGCTGCCCTATGTTCCTGCAATTTGAAATTTGTAAGTGTGTTTTATCATTTTGCTATTACTGCTGAAATAAATACAATATTACACTATCAAAGCTTCTGGCCTGTGGCTCTCTTATTTGGAGGGAGCCCGGGCCTTTTTGAAGGTGCTCGGTTCCTCCTGGTCTCCTGTGGGTTGCTTACTGACTTGCTGGATTACTCCCTCCATTGGCTGATGTATATCTCTGGGATTCCCATCCTGCTGTCCTGGGAACATGACATCTAGTGGCGACAGATGAGATGACATCATCCCCCTCAGTGGCTTCCTTTCAGAGTACCAGGAGTAGGTCTTAATTACTCCATGCGCTGAGACATCTGGTTAGTGCAAGCTATTCTCAGTTTTTTTTTCACCACAAGAGTCACGAACTTCCCTCTGGTTTCTCAACCGCAGATGCACCACAGAAGTCACAAGCTTAATATGCTTATATTTTAAACGTTTATTCTTATCATGAACGTTGCTTAATTTATATGTAATATATGGGATCTGGTTATATTTAATATATGTGATCAGGTTGATTTCCAATATATGAGCGCTGCATATTTTTATTACATACTATCCGAAGTTTTTTGAGGTTTACTTTCTATGCCAGCAGCTTAATTTATTAATCTATCCATTCATATATTCATCTATTTACCTGATTAACTACTAGACACCTAGCGCTGTTACACTTTATTCCAATCTGGACTTCTACTGTTGAGCCAGAGAATTGAGACCACTTTCAAGTTGTTGCCCTCACCCCAAGGCAGGCCTTTCCGGTGTTTGTACCAAAGTTCTACAGGCTGCCTCTATGGGGTACCTGTTGGAGAAATTTCTTTGTGAAGAAAAGGACTCCAGTTGGTGAGCTGATATTACCTGTTTTGGGGGCAATACCTTCCACTAAATGCTATTCAATGATATATACAAATAAATATAAATGAAGAGAGCAATAAATATAACTAGAAAATCTACAATTTCTGGGGAAATTGTGTGAAGTGTTCTTGCATCCAAATCTAACCAAGTGATTGATGAAATGTAAGCAGTGCACATGGCAAGCGTGATAGAGTGAGAACTGCATTTCAACTTGGTGACTCAGCTGCCTGTGAGTCATGTTAGGTTGCTATAGCAACTCACTCAGTCAGGAAGCTGACAGGCTTTTCTAAACACACTGCTCCAACTTGCCAACTTCACTGGCGATTGCCATCTTCAAACACTTGTAGTTTTAAAAGTATAAATGCTACAGCAAAGAGCTTGATATTGTGATAATCACAAGAAGCAGAGCTAAATGTTGATGTATAGTATGTCTCCGAAATATTAAAAATGAAGGCACAGTCGCAGTTTAAAAATGTCCCTTCAAATTTCAGGTGGCTGTGAGTGAAGTTTCAATGAAAGTCAATGGGAGGGGTGAGTTGCAAACAAATGGTCATATTCTGAAAACTATCAGGAGTATGTCCTAGCCGTGAACATTTTTAGTGACAGCAGGGTTAGCTGAACGTTTTGATATAAGATATGTGTAGGTAGGCTTGAAAATGACAGAGTGATGGCAGTTTACAAATCATGTTCTGATTTTTTTCCTTCCACCCTGTAGCTGTGCTCTGCTGCCACTCTAGATGCACCATTCATTCCTATGAGAAAATTTTGCCACAAAAACCGCGATATTTCTTGAACGACTCGGCGAAACATTCCACAAAGTAATAGCCATCCAATCGGGAACAATCCGCACGTTTTGATATATTACTTGTCTTTGTAGTGTAAAAACTGTGGGAGGAGTTAGCGTGGCAAATATGGCTATAATAAGAATAAGAATATATTTGTGAGATAACAATTAGTGTTCTTGCAAGAACACTTAAATAGTGAACAGCTTGGAAGAAATATATGAGTGCAAAGTGACACTAAATCACCAAAAGCATATCTCATAGGACTCGTGAAACAATGTGTAAAAGTCAGCATTACCCAAAATATTTTAGCTGCATGCAATGGGCATAGATATACAGTAAACTCTCAAAACATATTTACAAAAATGCAGTGCTACAGTTGCAAGAAAAAGTATGTGAACCCTTGGGATTACGTGGAGTTTTGCATGAATTGGTCATAAAATGTGCTCTGAACGTCATCTAAGTCACAACAATAGAAGAACACAGTCTGCTGAACATAATACTACACAAACATTAGATGTTGCCATGGTTTAATTGCACATAACATGTAAACATTCACAGTGCAGGGAGGAAAAAGTATGTGAACCTTTGGACTTAATAACTGGTTGACCCTCCTTTGGCAGCAATAACCTCAACCAAAACGTTTCCTGTAGTTGTAGATCAGACCGGAACAACAATCTGGAGTAATTTTGGACCACTCTTCTTCACAAAACTGTTTCAGTGTAACAATATTCTAGGGATGTCTGGTGTGAATTGCTCTCTTAAGGTCATGCCACAGCATTTCAATCGGGTTGAGGTCAGGACTCTGACTGGGCCACTTCAGAAGGCGTATTCTGTGCTGTTGCAGCCATTGTTTTGTTTAATTACTTGTATGCTTTGGGTCTGTCAGGAATGGACTGGCCAGCAATAGTGGGACTCAGCTGCCTTATGAGCTGCAGTACCAGGGCTGGCCAGCGGGTGCTCCCAGCAATCAGAGACTCAACCTTGCAGCCAGTCAAACACCTGGAACTAATTATACTGGTGTATTTAAGGGACATTCAGACCTGCAGACTCTGCCTTGGTGTGTTGTGTTTCTCTTGGGCCCTGTATCCTGTTCCTGCTCTCTGTTCCTGTCTGATTCTCTGCTGACCCTGCTCTGATCCCTGGCTTGTCTGACCATTCTCCTCTGCCTGACCCTCTGTACCACACTACCTGCTGAACCTGGCCTGTGACCCCGACCATTCTCCGCTTGCTCCCCCTGTACCTACCTGCCCGACTGATATTGACCCAGCCTGCCTGACGACGCTTGCATTGTATGTACTGTTATCTGTGGGTGGTTGGTTGGTTTTGTTTGCACTGTGTTATGTTTTAGTATTGCACTGCGTTTATGTTTGCATGGTTAGTGTTAATAAATTACATTGTTTATAACATATCTGAAGTCTGCGTTTCCCTGCGTCAGTCACACACCTCTGGTCATACCCGGGAGCCCTGACATTACACCAAGGCCAATCCTGACCAGAAGTGGCTGCACAGGGAAGCCATCTTGACTTGTTGATGGGAAGGATGGATCTGGATGAGGCTGCGTATTTATCTCTGCTAGTGTTTGATGACAGGGAGTATGCTTATCAAACTCTGAAGGAGTATACCCGGGATGAACTGCTAGAATGTATACAGCTCGCTCATGTTCTAGTAGATCAGGGCACAGAGTTCTCTGAGGTGCAGCCATTGATTGAGGTTTGTGCTGAGTTGGTTTCATCTGGTACCCCCAAATGCAGGGGATGAATTTTTGCCACCATTTAGTGCAGACCAGGTAGAGTCCCCCTGTGGTGTGGTTATTAGAGGATGATGTGGGTTACTTTCTGGAGCGTTATTCCACATGTTCACCACAGACACTAAGAGATTGTATAAACGCAGTGCAGTCATTGACCAGACAGGCTTTGTGTAAGCTCAGCTTTGTTCAACCCATACTGCAGACATGGACAGACTTGTTGCACCCAGCCTCAGTCAGCCTACAAAAACCCAGTCCTGCTTCTAATCTATTTCCTCAAAACTCTATTCCTGCATTCCCAACAGCTCCTCCTGCCCTGCTATATACCGCATGTCAGTACCCTGTTCCCACTCGCTGCACCTATCCTGCCTTTAACCCTGTAAAAAAGTCCTCTGTAGCAACTGCTCCCTCTCCTGTTCCATCCTCCAGTTCTTCTCTGTCTCCAGCTGCTCCATTCGTTTGCAGACCTGCGTTTACTTGCAGTGCTCCAGTAGTTAAAACCAGAAAAAAGCGAAAATTCTTTCCAACCAATACCATCCTGCCAGTATCCAAACCGGTGAGCCTGCCGTCTGAGAACCTGCCTTCCGTGGTTCAGCCTGAAGCCTCTACTCAGCCTGAAGCCTCTACTCGGCCTGAAGCCTCTACTCGGCCTGAAGCCTCTACTCAGCCTGATGCCTCTACTCAGCCTGAAGCCTCTACTCAGCCGGACGCCGGCATTCAGCCTGATGCCTCTACCCAGCATGATGAACTGATCCAGCCAGACGATCCAATGCCTGGTGACCCGGTGCCCACTGCCTTGCCAGATGACGCGGTGCCCGCTGGCAAGCCAAATGACCTGATGCCTGGTGACCCAGTGCCCGCTGTCCTACCTGGTGACCCGATGCCCGCTGTCGAGCCAGACAATCCGGTACCTGATGACCCGGTGCCCACTGTCGTGCCTGTTGACTCGGAGCCCACTGCCTTGCCAGATGACGCGGTGCCCGCTGTCGAGCCAAATGACCTGATGCCTGGTGACCCGATGCCCGCTGTCCAGTCAGACGATCCAATGTCTGACCTAGTGCCCGCGGTCATACCAGTTGACTCGGAGTCCACTGCCTTGCCAGATGACGCGGTGCCCGCTGTCGAGCCAAATGACCTGATGCCTGGTGACCCAGTGACCGCTGTCATACCTGGTGACCCAATGCCCGCTGTCGAGCCAGACAATCCGGTACCTGATGACCCGGTGCCCACTGTCGTGCCTGTTGACTCGGAGCCCACTGCCTTGCCAGATGACGCGGTGCCCGCTGTCGAGCCAAATGACCTGATGCCTGGTGACCCGATGCCCGCTGTCCAGCCAGACGATTCAATGTCTGCCCCAGTGCCCGCGGTCATACCAGTTGACTGGGAGCCCACTGCCTTGCCAGATGACGCGGTGCCCGCTGTCGAGCCAAATGACCTGATGCCTGGTGACCCGATGCCCGCTGTCCAGCCAGACGATCCAATGTCTGACCCAGTGCCAGCGGTCATGCCAGTTGACTCGGAGCCCACTGTCGTGCCTGGTGACTCGGTGCCCGCCGCTTCGCCTGGGGGCCCGAGACCTGTCGCTCCGCCTGGGGGTCCGGCGCCCGCCGCTCTGCCTGGGGGCCTGAGACCTGTCGCTCCGCCTGAGGGCCCGAGACCTGTCGCTCCGCCTGGGGGTCCGGCGCCCGCCGCTCCGCCTGAGGGCCCGAGACCTGTCGCTCCGCCTGGGGGTCCGGCGCCCCCGCCGCTCCGCCTGAGGGCCCGAGACCAGTCGCTCCGCCTGGGGGTCCGGCGCCCGCCGCTCCGCCTGAGGGCCCGAGACCCGTCGCTCCGCCTGGGGGTCCGGCGCCCGCCGCTCCGCCTGAGGGCCCGAGACCCGTCGCTCCGCCTGGGGGTCCGGCGCCCGCCGCTCCGCCTGAGGGCCCGAGACCCGTCGCTCCGCCTGGGGGTCCGGCGCCCGCCGCTCCGCCTGGGGGCCCAATGCCTGTTGCCCTGCCTGGGGGCCCGATGCCTGTTGCCCTGCCTGGGGGCCCGATGCCTGTTGCCCTGCCTGGGGGCCCGATGCCTGTTGCCCCGCCTGGGGGCCCGGCGCCCGCCGCTCCGCCTGGGGGCCCGGCGCCCGCCGCCCCGCCTGGGGGCCCGGTGCCTGTTGCCCCGCCCGGGGGCCCGGTGCCTGCTGCTCTGCCCGGGAGCCCGGTGCCTGCTGCTCTACCCGGGGGCCCGGTGCCTGCTGCTCCGCCCGGGGGCCCGGTGCCTGCTGCTCCGCCTGGGGGCCCGGTGCCTGCTGTTCCGCCTGGTGGCCCGCTGCCTGCTGCTTCGCCTGGTAATCCGATGTGCCTCTGCCCGGAGTCCAGCCCAATGTGCCTCTGCCCGGAGTCCAGCCTGATGTGCCTCTGCCCGGAGTCCTGCCTGATGTGCCTCTGCCCGGAGTCCTGCCCGATGTGCCTCTGCCCGATGAGCCTCTGCCCGGAGTCCAGCCCGATGTGCCTCTGCCCGGAGTCCAGCCCGATGTGCCTCTGCCCGGAGTCCAGCCCGATGTGCCTCTGCCCGGTGTGCCGCTGCCCGGAGTGCCTCTGCCCGGAGTCCAGCCCGATGTGCCTCTGCCCGGAGTCCAGCCCGATGTGCTTCTGCCCGGAGTCCTGCCCGATGTGCCTCTGCCCGGAGTCCTGCTCGGTGTGCCAGTCTTTGATATCCCGCCAGTTACCAGACCCGGGCGGTGGAACATTTTGCCCAGCTAGGACTGTTTGGAGCGTCCTGAGGCCGCTCCTTGAGGGGGGGGGTACTGTGAGGAATGGACTGGCCAGCAATAGTGGGACTCAGCTGCCTTATGAGCTGCAGTACCAGGGCTGGCCAGCGGGTGCTCCCAGCAATCAGAGACTCAACCTTGCAGCCAGTCAAACACCTGGAACTAATACTGGTGTATTTAAGGGACATTCAGACCTGCAGAATCTGCCTTGGTGTTGTGTTTCTCTTGGGCCCTGTATCCTGTTCCTGCTCTCTGTTCCTGTCTGATTCTCTGCTGACCCTGCTCTGATCCCTAGCTTGTCTGACCATTCTCCTCTGCCTGACCCTCTGTACCACGCTACCTGCTGAACCTGGCCTGTGACCCCAACTATTCTCCGCTTGCTCCCCCTGTACCTACCTGCCCGACTGATATTGACCCGGCCTGCCTGACGACGCTTGCATTGTATGTACTGTTATCTGTGGGTGGTTGGTTGGTTTGTTTGCACTGTGTTATGTTTTAGTATTGCACTGCGTTTATGTTTGTATGGTTAGTGTTAATAAATTACATTGTTTATAACATATCTGAAGTCTGCGTTTCCCTGCGTCAGTCACACACCTCTGGTCATACCCGGGAGCCCTGACAGGGTCATTGTCCTGTTGCATCACCCATCCTCTGCGGAGCTTCAGTTGGCAGACAGATGGTCGTACATTTTCCTGCAAAATGTCTTGATAAACTCTGGAATTCATTTTCTCATCAATGACAACATTCCGTCCAGGCCCTGAGGCAGCAAAGCAGCCCCAAACCATGATGCTCCCTCCGCCATGTTTTACAGTGGGGATGAGGTTTTGATGTTGGTGTGCTGTGCCTTTTTTTTCTCCACACATAGTGTTGTGTGTTCTTCCCAAACAACTCAATCTTGGTTTCCTCTGTCCACAGTATATATTGCCAGTAGTGCTGTGGAACATCCAGGTGCTCTTTTGCAAACTTCAAACGTGCTGCAATATTCTTTTTGGACAGCAATGGCTTTCTCCGTGGTGTCCTCCCATGTACTCCATTCTTGTTTAATGTTTTACTTATTGTAGATGTGTCAACAAAAATCTTAGCATGTGCCAGAGATTTCTGTAGGTCTTTAGCTGACACTCTGGGATTCTTCTTTACCTCATGCAGCATTCTGCGCTGTGCTCTTGCAGTCATTTTTACAGGACGACCACGCCTAGGGAGAGTAGCAACAGTGCTAAACTTTCTCCATTTGTAGACAGTTTGTCTTACCGTGGACACATGAACATCAAGGCTTTTGGAGATACTTTTTTAACCCTTTCCAGCTTCATGCAAGTCAACAATTCTTGATCATAGGTCTTCTGAGAGCTCTTTTCTGCGAGGCATGGTTCACATCAGACAGTGCTTTTCGAAACCAGTAAACCCAAAACAGGTGTGTGTTTTTTAAGGGCAGGACAGCTGTCAGCAACACATCCAATATCATCACACTGATTGGAGTCGAGGTTGGCTCACTCCTGGCTCAAACTAGCTCCGGGAGAAGTCATTAAGCTAGGGCCTCACATACTTTTTCCTCCCTGCACTGTGAATGTTTACATGTTATGTGCAATTAAACCATGGCAACATCTAATGTTTGTGTAGTATTATGTTCAGCAGACTGTGTTCTTCTATTTTTGTGACTTAGATGACGTACAGAGCACATTTTATGCCCAATTCATGCAAAACTCCACGTAATCCCAAGGGGTTCATATACTTTTTCTTGCAACTGTAAATAATAATAGCGTATACTCCAATATACAGTATCACCCAATACAAGTATCAATGAATCCAAAAGTCCGCAAATTAAAATTCTTCAAAAAACAATCTGATATTCTATATACAGTGAGTAAATATATATAGAAAAAAGGTGCAGCGCTAATAGTAAAACATCAATTTAAAATCAATTAAAAGACTAAAACAACTAAGGACATGAAGACATATATTCGTCATGAATACGATATTCAATCAAATGTCCTAAAACATGCAATGAGGTGCAATGTGCCAATTCTGCCAGGTCCCCTTTAAAAGGTGAATGATCCAAAGGTGAGCAGGAAATATGTAAAGTGCGCACTCACCAGAAGTGCGTTTAAAATATGCATAAAAGAAGTATCCTCTCTCCTGGTGCATCTAGGATCTCCCCATCCAGGTGAAGCTGCGTTCACTAATTCTCACCGGTCATCAATCCTGGTTCAATGGTGCATCCGACACTATTACATCTCCAAAGTCCCTCCTTAAAACTTGGTGCTGTGAAAGGGTGGCGCTCATGGAGAGCCCAATAAGGGACATCACATAGCGTGATACTGCATAAACACTTTATTTGGAAAGTAGCATCAATCAAAATAAGATACTGACCGCAATCATAGAATGGATGTCCAGGTGCTGTACCCCACTGACGCGTTTCGTGCTAAGCACGTTCTCAAAGGCTGCACCCTTTGAGAACGTGCTTAGCACGAAACGCGTCAGGGTGCTACAGCACCTGGACATCCATTCTATGATTGCGGTCAGTATCTTATTTTGATTGATGCTACTTTCCAAATAAAGTGTTTATGCAGTATCACGCTATGTGATGTCCCTTATTGGGCTCTCCATGAGCGCCACCCTTTCACAGCACCAAGTTTTAAGGAGGGACTCTGGAGATGTAATAGTGTTGGATGCACCATTGAACCAGGATTGATGACCGGTGAGAATTAGTGAACGCAGCTTCACCTGGATGGGGAGATCTTAGATGAACCAGGAGAGAGGATACTTCTTTTATGCGTATTTTAAACGCACTTCTGGTGAGTGCGCACTTTACATATTTCCTGCTCACCTTTGGATCATTCACCTTTTAAAGGGGACCTGGCAGAATTGGCACATTGCACCTCATTGCATGTTTTAGGACATTTGATTGAATATCGTATTCATGACGAATATATGTCTTCATGTCCTTAGTTGTTTTAGTCTTTTAATTGATTTTATATTGATGTTTTACTATTAGCGCTGCACCTTTTTTCTATATATTATCTTGGAAGGTCATGTTGGTTACCTTTTTGGTGTTCTAGCGGCTCTCTCTCTCTTTTTTCATATCCGTATTACAGTAAGCGCTCGCTGTACAAATTTGTATCCAACTCAGTGAATAAATATATGCAGCAAATAAAGATGCAGAAAAAAGTAATAATTCCCAGTGTGTCTTATTCTAGTTTACACAAAATTTATGTGCTGAAAAGTCTCCCTCAGTCTGGGGAGGGGCGTAAGTATGGCGTTCTATGTCAGCTTGGGTTAGGAGCTCCCACACCCGCCAAATAATGGTGCTTACCTGACTCCTAATCTGCCCATTTTGTTGCTGAGAGACCTTGAGGTGGGGGGGGTCCTGTTTGGCTGGTTGACCTGGGGATCAAAATAAGTGTAGCAGTGGACGACAGGGAGGCGGCCGCCTGTCACTAGGCTAGAAAGACCCAACAGAGCAGCAAAGGATGAGGAGGATCCATGTGACCGGTCAGGTGAACGGGCAGAGAAGCCTGGGAGCCTGCAAGCCGAGTGCCGGAGATAGGAGGATGGAGTCCTTTCACTCATTTCCCAATGGACCCCTGGCTTGTTTCCATCTACAGTGTAACAGATCCTTTGCAGG